CACCGGGATCGAGAGGGAGGGAGAGAGTGAGACAGTGTGACACCGGGATCGAGAGGGAGGGAGTGAGACAGTGTGACACCGGGATCGAGAGGGAGTGAGACAGTGTGACACCGGGATCGAGAGGGAGTGAGAGAGTGAGACAGTGTGATCGAGAGGGAGGGAGTGAGAGAGTGTGACACTGGGATCGAGAGGGAGGGAGAGAGTGAGACAGTGTGATCGAGAGGGAGGGAGTGAGACAGTGTGACACTGGGATCGAGAGGGAGGAAGAGAGTGAGACAGTGTGATCGAGAGGGAGGGAGGGAGTGAGACAATGTGACACCGGGATGGAGAGGGAGGAAGAGAGTGAGACAGTGTGATCGAGAGGGAGGGTGAGTGTGGCATCACGAGTGGGAGAGGGAGTGAGAGAAACTGGCACTGTGAGTCAGGGAGTGAGACACTTGATGCAGGAGGCAGAGAGTGAAAGGGGGAGAGTGTGACGTACAGAATGAGTGAGTCACAGGAGACACACTGCTACCTTCCACTCCTGCTGTAGAGTTGGCAGTGGGCAGCAGAGACAATGAGAGAGAGGGACAGTGATCGGGCACTCTATCTCCCTATATCCCAGGCCAGCCGTGTGAAGCACTCACCTTCAGGAGCACTGAGCAGCCAGGTGCATCACCAGAAGGCCAGTTACAGGGCACTGTGGGTGCTGATGGCACACAAGATGCAAGTAAAGCAGCGCATGCCTGCCGCCTGCTGGCACGTTTTTGTTACTGCTGTGTTAATGTTGGGCACACAGATCAGCTATCATCCCCTCTCTGACTCGCCTCCCTGCAGTCCATTTTCTCGGTCCTTCGAGAGCAGGGCCAGACAGTTGTCAATTCTCAGTCACTGCACTGGTCCTGGTGTGGGCTAGAGGTCGCTGGTCTGACCCTGGGATTCACTCTTAATGCATCTCACGCTGACAGCAGCTGACAGCAGGGAGGGACGCCGCTCTTGCAAAGAGTGAAAGAGGAGCAGCCATGAGGTGGCGCAGAGGCAACAACGGTGTGCGCTGACAATTCCCGGTTCCCAGAGGAAAAGGAGGAGAGAAATCGGTGACCCCGAGGTCAGGTTACAGATCGTAGACCAGGGGTATACATGCAGTATGCCTTTTGATCACATAGTGAAGAAATAGAGGTGTGACTTGAAATGAAGGCTCGGCCGTCATTTAAACTGTGAAGTACATTCCTGCTTGGTCATCCCATCCCCCCGGGCCGAGCCCTCCTGTTGTGGCAGCGGTCACTGCCTGCGAGAGAGGGGGCTGACCAGGTTTCTCCGCTCCTGTCCTGGGGGACCCGCCGTGTCTCCTGGTTCTCATTTCGGCTGAGCTCTTGAATCCCCGCTGCTCATCGATGCCTTGAATTGAACTGCAGGCTTGTTCGGCTGTCGCTGCACACTGCCCTTGGCTTCAAACAGGCCAGACTGCAGGGTGTTTCATTTACGGCTTTGGCATACAGACCTTTGTTCAGACTTTCCTCAGCTTGCTCTTTTGCTTCCTTAATTCATACTAGGTTGAATAGCTAATGGTAAATGGGCACAGGTGGGAGTGACACTGCATCAGACACGTGTGGAATTCAGTGGGGATAGGGCATTTAATGTGTGCCACCCACAGTGTGGAGTGCTACTGTATCAGACACACCCACAGTGGGGAGTGACCCTGTATGAGACACACCCATAGTGGGGAGTGATCCTGTATGAGACACACCCACGGTGGGGAGTGATGCTGTATCAGACACACCCAGAGTGTAGCGTGATGCTGTATTAGACACGCCCACAGTGGGGGAGTGGCCCTGTATCAGACACGCCCATGGTGGGGAGTGACCCTGTGTCAGACACGCCCACGGTGGAGAGTGATGCTGTATCAGATACATCCAGAGTGTAGAGTGATGGTGTATCAGACACGCCCACGGTGGGGAGTGGCCCTGTAT